CAGAAAATATTAATATTGTGAAATTTTGCATTCTTTTATCTATTTAATACTGCATTCTATTCTATTTGCGGAAGCAAATAAAATGCAATAAAATATATGTATATATATATGGCATAAAAGAGAGTGTAAAACATAAAATTGATCGTACAAATGTATAATTATTATATACTTTTAAAATATTTTTATACATATATACAAATAATAAATTATTTATATCTAAATAATTATTCATATTTATTTAATCCAAATATACTCAAACATATATTTAAGAAAAGAAAATACAAAACACAAAAAATTAAATTTCGTAAATTAAATAATTTAAAGTTAAAAAAACAAAAATTCAAAAATTAGGGTTAGAAAATAAATATAAAAAAATTTAATGCAAAAGAATTTAAAGTTTAAAATAATTAAATTCAAAAAATTTTATGCGAAAAAAAATTGACGTTAAACAAATAAAAGTAAAAAAATTTCATGTGCAAAAGAAACTTAGCGCTGTTATTCCAATTAAAATTAACATTATGAATAAAATATAATACAAACTAAAATAACTTTACATAACAGCGCTAAGTTTTTGCGTGCGTGCGTGTGTGTGTGTAGTGTGAATGTGAGTGTGTGGGTGCCTAACTATCACGTATTTTGATAATTACGGAAGATCAACGAAAAATTATTATTTAATATATTAATTTCATTTTCGTACAGATCTTAAACACTATGGGGTGTCGCGTGGCCTTCAATGTAATTCCAACTGCCTGAATGCCTTATCCTTAAAAGGACGGGGCGTCGGCGTTCTCGGCGTTCTATCCTTAAAAGGACTGACGCTCCTTAGTAGTCTGAAGGCCGTGTGTGAAGGTGGAGTCGGCGCGACACTGGTGGCTATTCTAATACGTTTAATTAACTCTGCAATCACAAGATTTGGCCCGATGGCCGGTCTAGATGCGGTATATACAACGCGGTCTTACGATCTAGCGGGTCGCGGTATAGATACAAAACGGTCTTAAATCTTAACAACATGCGGGGACCAAAGTGGTCTGACGGTAGAACAGGTCGCGGTATATACAAGGCGGTGCTAGAGTCCCTTAGGACGCGGAGACCAAAGCGGTTTTACGGTACAAACAGGTCGCGGTATATACAAACGGTCTTACGATATAACAGGTTGCGGAGAACGCGGTACGGACTTACAAGCTAGCAGGATGCGCTGTCCCAGCAACCGGGAAGCCCGGCCTAACTACGGGAAGCCCGTAGCCCGGTGTAACGCGAGGTATCAGGGTGCGCCGTCCCAGCAACCGGGTAACCCGGCGTAACTACGGGTAGCCCGTAGCCTGGTGTAACGCGGTATAGGATCAGGACGCGGAGACCGGAGCGGTCTTACTGGTTACGGTATATGTACAACGGTCTTAGAATATAACATGTCGCGGTATATGTACAAAGCGGTATTACAGTTTAACAGGTCGCGGTATTTATACGGAAAGATACACGGAGACCAAAGTGGTCTTACGGTGGAAACGGTCGCGGTATATACAAACGGCCGTCCAGATTGAACGGTGCGCGGTACGGTCTTATGAAGAGTGCGCCGTCCCAGAAACCGGGAAGCCCGGCATAACCACGGGTAGCCCGTGACCTGGTGTAACGCTAGGTATCAGGGTGCGCCGTCCCAGCAACCGGGTAACCCGGCGTAACTACGGGTAGCCCGTAGCCTGGTGTAACGCGGTATAGGTTTCGGATCAGGAGTTGTACTAGGTAGGACTCGGGATCGGGAACTGGTAATGCTATGCTCGCCGGAGCGCCTTATATACCGGCGGCCGGCCTCCCACTCGCACGATTTAACGTGTGGCGGGGTGGTCCCTACGGTGGGGCCGCGACACGGGTGTGGGAGCTTAGGGACGCCATAAGCGCCGAGCCTCGAAAAGCGCGCGGTGGATCGGCCCGCTAGGCCGTTAATAACGGTATCGTTACATATTATTATTATATTACTTATATATTTGTTAATTTATTTTATTTATTGTGACATTCAAAATAACTTTAGTGTTGCCATGAATTTCTATATAAGTGCAATTCATTTTATAAATTTTTAATCTTAACTTGATCACAAATAAAATGTGAATGAAAATGCAAATATATCAAGTCTGATAATCGCGCGATAGTGCCAAGACTGCCAAAGCAACGCCTAGCGGCGTCTTAGTGAACCTAGACAAACATGGCGTCTCGAAAAGTGACACATTTTGGGCCGAAAAATTTATATGAAATATCTTGCGAACAACGAGACATTCAGCGGCTTATCAGTGAACCTGGAACAATATAGCGTCTTAGAAATCTAGCGGCTTATCAATGAACCTGGACAAATATGGCGTCCCAAAAAGTGACACATTTTGGACCGAAAAATTCATACGAAATATCGAAATCTGTACATCAAATGCATCTACCAATGTCATTTTGATATTATTATATTCGAAAAAATCCATGTTCTCGATTGATATGTTCATCTCTCGAAAAGATGGTTCGACGTACGAGATATTTCGAATTCATTTTCTAAAATTTTCAAAAAACGTTCTCACTCCGGTAAGTGATACACGGTAGCGTCTGTTTACAGTAAACAAAAAAACGACGAAAGATATACTTAGCGAGACGCTACCGCGTCTTTTGATCACTGATGCCAGAATTGAGACGCGAGCAACACGACTCCGTACTGGTGGGGATACACACACAAGCGTAAACCGTGTACGTGTAATGCGCAGAGCGCTCTGCGCATTACACGTACACGGTTTACGCTTGTGTGTGTATCCCCACCAGTACGGAGTCGTGTTGCTCGCGTCTCTATTCTGGCATCATTGCTCTTGATAAGAGCGCACTAGTCAAGGCGCGCATATATTTTCTATTATAAATATAAAATTATTGTAACAACAAAATCATCAATGTAAATATAGCATACAGTTCGATCCCTTTTTGGGGGCCATCTTCAGCGCAATCGAAAAGTAGATATTAAACATGTAACGGTACGCCTTTCCCGACGCCACGGATCGGCTCGTCGGTGTCAGGGTTCGGGAGAAGGGGAGACTCTGGCTCGCAAATCACACGTCGAGTTAATAACAAAATAACGTTTATTATATTGAGATATATGCGTACAAGACTTAGATACTACGGGGTGTCGCGTGATCGCTTGGTGGTTCCAACTTTCTAGCACTGCCTGTGCATCTTATCCTGAGAAGGACTGGGTGCCAGTGCTCTTTGCGGTTTATTCTGACAAGGATTAGCGCGTAGTGATATGGTGCGGCCGTAGCAGGACACGCTCTTAAAGGCTAGTCGAACGATACACGACTTACTGACTAGGCGGACAAGACTCGACTGACAATTAACCGTGAGCAAGACGCGGTGTTATATACTAGGCGGACAAGACTCGACTGACAATTAACCGTGAACAAGATGCAGTCTTATATACTAGGTGGATAAGACTCGACTGACAATGAACCGTGAACAAGACTCGGTATGATATATTAGACGGACAAGTCTCGACTGACAATTAACCGTGAACAAGACTCGGTATGATATACTAGGCGGACAAGACTCGACTGGTGATCAACCGTCAATAGGACGCGGTATTATATGCTAGGCGAACAAACGATCGGTTGACAACGCGATCTGGTGGCTCGCGATCGCGGTCTATCGCAGGTTCCGGGAGCGGAAGCAACGAGGAGAGCGCTCCTCGTTGCAAGCAGGACCGGCCGTCGAGAGCACTCGACAAGGTACGAGAGCACTCGTCCCCCGGACCGGAGGTGGTTGACGCAAGGGAGAGCACTCCCTTGCACCGACAGGACTGGACGCCGAGAGCATTCGGCCGAGGACGAGAGCACTCGTCCCCTAGATCAAATAGAAAGGAGCGGTATCAGGATTCGATTTGTTGGAGAGACTCAGAGAGCGCTCTGAGGCTTCTAGCGTCCCGAAGATTGGGACCGGGACTGGTATCGTGTGCTGTGCCGGGCCGACTTATACAGGGTGCATTCCGATATTCACTGCCAGTACTGACAGCGCTGCGGGTACCATTACAAAATACGCTGCAGTAAGCTTTCGATGAACTTGTGAAAATGTGTGACGTCATACATTTTGTCGTCACTTCCTGCTTTCGTTACTGCGGCTGACGAGGTAAGGCATTCGCAGTAGAAATATGGCGGCGCCCGTGGAAGATATGGAGGAGATTTATTTAATAGGCAGTGAAACAAATAAAGAATTCAAAATAATAATAATAAGTAGTAATGATGCAACTAGAACACGAAACGGTAAGAAAGTGAATAATATTTTTGTAAATAAATATTATTATTATAATATGATATAAAATGGATAAATTCTTTTATGTAATCAATAGATAAAATAGCTGATAATAAGTTTTTTTCAATACTATACAGGGTGTCCTAGACCACCCGTACACCCCTTTTCTTTCAAAAACTAAGCATTTTAGAGAAAAACGTTTTGAACAAAAATTGTATGGTTTTGAGGGGAACATAAGATGGTGTCATTATATGTTTTTTCTTATTAAAATATCCTAAAAAATACTTGTGTTTTATTTTTAGATTTAACTTTTGCTACGCATTTGTTGCAGCATGCTAAACATTCAACCCAAGAAATAGGTTATACTTCGCCACAAGGTATGAATGATTTAAATTGTTGTAAATATAAATAAGTAAATATAAAAAAGCAGTATCAAATTTTATGCGACAATATTATTAATTTTAGCAAGTACAAGTAACAGCAGTCAACAAGAATTAGCTGTCAGTCTTAACACAACTGCAGAATGTCAAAAAGGTAATGCATGGAAATTTACATAGTACATAAATACTCGCATATATATTAATCAAAGAATTGTCTAATTCCTGTTTAATCACATTGCAGGTGCGCATGCATGGACAAAACAGGAAAGTGTATTACTATTGGAACTGTATCGACAACACCAGACAAAATTTATTGGTGCAAAAGGTACAATAAAAAAACATTGGGATAATATTGCAAGCCTCATGCAAGAGAAAGGACATAACATAAATGGTTTTAAATGTTCAACAAAATTTCAATTTTTGAAACGTACATACAAAAGTATTATGGATCACAACAAAAAAAGTGGTAATAATAGGAAAGATTGGGAATTTTTACAGGTTAAATTATTCAAATTTATTTATTTGTTAAATTATATGCCTGTGCTTTATACAATAATATAATTTTAATATAAGTTTAATATTTTAATTTTTATATCACACACAGATAATGCAAGAGTTATTTGGTGAGAAACCCTGGGTGCAACCTTTAGCTATAACAGGATTGCACTTAGATGAAGAACAAAATGAAAACAATTTACCAGCAAAAGAAAATATTCAAGAAGAAGGTAATATAATATGTCTTATGGTAGATGTAAAATAATTGTGTATGTGCATAAATATATACTGTATATTTATAATTTCAGTTACTAAAAAGACAAAACTAAATACTGTAATAAGTGATTACATATCATATAGCAAGGAAGAACGAGCTAAACGAAGAGAAAGTCGAGCAAAACAGCATGAAGAAAAACTGCTCGCCTTTAAAAGATTGGAAAATTTATTAGAGAGGCTGATAGAAAAAGAAAATAAGTCAGGAATTTAGAAGTTAACCAAAAATGTTTTCTAAAATTGTTTCTTTTTATTTAATTTATTTCAATTTTATTTTGCATTGTTTTATTTTGTTTGTTTCATTTCGTACAAAATATGTTAGTATTAACCAGTATATTTAAATTATATTGTTACGTCCTGGCGGAGCCACGATTCCTCCCTTCCGCGAAGTTGCGGCAATGATAATCGATCGGTGATAGAAATGAGTCGTTTGGTAAATAGAGCATCTTGCGTCACACATTCCTTAAACATTTAGTCACTTGTCAATATCTATATCTATGAGTAACCGCGAGAAAGACGCGAGAGACCGGTGACGAAACCGCGCCGGTCTCCTAAAAATAAATAAAAACCAGTAGCTGCCCTCGCAGTAGAATTTTCCAGCGGAATAATAAACTGATACCGAAAAGATAATAAAATTCTCACGAAATATCTGACGAAAACAACTAAATCAATAATGACAAAACTTCTGTGACGTCATATTCAGTAATGACAGAAAGTAAGACTTTTTCTAATCAGATCACGGGCGTAAGGGGAACCTAGAGCTCAAGGGACTCTGAACTGATCACCAATCGACGATCACCACGAGACACACGCATTAAAAAACCACTACGAGTATCCACCGAACCTACTCTTCCTTCCTCGTCAAGGTACGCCTCCCCCAGTTACTCCCCCATCTACTTCCCCGACCATATCACTCCAGCGACCGAACCTCCGCTTTCCCCACGTTCCTGCTCCTCCCTATCCACTATCCTCTTGAACAATTCACCCCCATCTTCCCCGCAGTTTTCAGAAGCAGATTTCGTAAAAGCTATAGAGGAGTTCTGCAATGAACTATCCCACTTAGAATCCGCTTCATCCTACCAGGATTAAAGTAAACTGAAATATCTCCCTTCATTCTCCTTCCTTATGACGCCATATTTCCTTTCTCACTCACACACGCACACATGTTTTGTTTGTTTTTTATTTATTTGATTAAATCATCACATTGTATCACCCAGTCAGAATCTAAATTTAACAGTAAAATCATTCCCTTGCATTTTTGACTGATGTCCTCCGTATTAGTGTAACACCCGCGAATTAACACACACACATACACACACACTCACATATACTCAGAGAAGAATGTATATTATATTATATTTTAAATTTTTATAATCATGTATACCCACCATCTACTTTAAAAATGAATAAATTTATTGGACGTAAGATACTGCTCTTTAAATTTAGGGGCTCGTCCGGGATTGTAACGTGCGATCTTTTAAACTGGAATGAGTAAAGGGACAAGAGGTACAGCTGATAAAGACGAAGTAGAACGAAAATTTCAGCTTGTTTAGGAAACATACAATTGAACAAAATCTAACAAATTAGAAACACATCACACTTCCACTCCTAATAAAACCACTAAAAACATTAATTTTCATTAGACGAAACGGTAATTAAAAAAGATTTCGAAAAAAAGTTTAGCGAAACAGCGGCCGAGTCTCATTTTGCCGATTCCTGCGATAAGACTATTATACCTGAATTTAATAAATACGAAAAAAAGAAAGACCCGAGCGGTACCGGCGGCAACATGACTCAAAATAATCCTTTCGCTACTTTGAAATACGCGGACGAAGCCATCCCTTATTTGGACGGTCAAAATATTCTATTAAATTATTTTATCGAGGGATGTGAAGAAGCAAAATCTATGTTGCCTAGTGAGGCTGAATCACAGTTTACCAAAATAATAAGAACCAGGATAATAGGGGAGGCTCGCCGAACTATACAAGACCAAGATTTTGATAACGTTTCTCATTCAACTAAATACTTAAAACAAATTTATGGACCAGCGAAAAATGTTTATCAATTACAAGGGGAATTAGGTTGCATATATCAAAAGAGTGACGAAGATGTAATTAATTATGGAAATAGAGTAAAAATTCTCGGAAAACAAATTTTAGAAGCATATAGAAGTTCTGGAAACGTGTTATCTGACCAAAGTATTAAAGCATCATTAGAAAAAGACATGTGCAAATGTTTGATTAGAGGGCTAAAACCAGAAATCGAGCAACGAGTTTCAAGAAACTTACTAGATGTACAAGTAACTGCAGCCGACGCTATAAGGATAGAGAGAGAGAGCTCCGAGCAATGACAGATTTACGACAGGGAACAGCAGGTAGACAAAAAACTAACAGCCTAAGAGAATTCTGTCAAATCTGTTATAAGGAAGGGCACGTAGGCAGTAACTGCAAGAAATATTTACAAACATCTCAACAAGTTAACAACCAAATTGATTTAGGAACCGCGATATTAGTATGTCAAATTTGTAAAAAACGTGGGCATGGAGCAGAGAAATGCCGCTTTCGCGATCCACAGCAACGCCGACCAGTAAACGTAGTTCAAGGGAAATTAATAACTTGCCAATTATGCTTAAAATCCGGTCATGATGCAAAATCTTGCCGACAGAGTAATACAACTAATAACAATAAAATCTCGGTAATTTGTCAATGGTGCGAAAGACCCGGCCATTCTGCAAATAATTGCTGGAAGAAACAGAACGAACAACGTTATGCGGGAAATAAAACTCGCATAATCTGTCAAATTTGCAACAACTTCGGACACATTGCTAAAGATTGTCGATCAAAACTAAACCATCAAACAGGATCCAGGAATTCTTTATTCTGCCGCTATTGTAAGGAGCAAGGTCATCTTCTCGAAAATTGTCAATTACGCCATGCCAGTAACTTTCGAAAAAAGGAAAATAATCATGGAAACTACAATGGCCCCTCGACGTCGGGTGCACAGCAGGGGTCCGAACGAGAGCCGTACCCGCTCAAAACTCAGGTAGCCATGTAGACAAGGACAGAACTACCATAAGGCCCGTGACTGTGAACCTCAACAAACATAGTCGCCTGCCTACCGTTCAGATCAACATCGATAATTTAACTACTAGTATAACTTTTATGCTAGACACGGGATCTGGACCTAATATAATTAAAGAAAATCTCGTTCCCGTAGAAATAAATATTAATTACACTAATATCCTCAAGTTGAACGGTATAAATAATTATCCTGTGTACACCTTAGGTGAAATTACATTAACTCTTTTTGAAATACCGGTTATATTTCATATTGTATCTAACGATTTTCCAATTTCACAATCCGACATATTAGGAAACGATTTCTTTAAACAAACTTCATCGAAAATAGATTACGCACAAGGGCACTTGGATGTCTCCGGAATCAACATATCTTTCTTATCACCTGAAGCCATTATAGTAGCTCCGCGATCTGAATCATTATTTTATATAAGAATAGAAAAAAGAAACTACTTACGAATTCGACGATTATGAAAATAATATGAATATTGAAAATGATGGTGAAAATGTGGATGAACAAAATATTATTATCGAAGAAATTAATTATGAAGACGAAGAAAAAACCTTAAATAAAGAAGGAAATAAGAATAAAATTAAAAATAAAGACAAGATAAAAAAATAAAACTGAGAGGAAAAATAAAGAATTAAATGATTCAAAAATCCTTGGAGAGGGAAATTACCAAACCTCTCCTGAAAATCTAATAAATCCAACCATTCCTGGAGGGGGAAATTACCAAACCTCTCCTAAAAATTTAATTAATTTAAAAACCCTCGAAGAGAGAAATTACCAATCCTCTCAAGAAGGGAATAATTCTAGGATTTCGGAGGGAAATTTCCAAACCTTGTCAGAAAATCCTAGCTCCGTCGATTGCGAGGAGGAAAATTATAAAACCTCACTACGTATTTCGGCAAAACCTTATCCCAAAAAGGGGAGAAGTCCTTTATCCTCCCTAGATATCAAATTTCCTAAGGTTGGATTATTTAAAGGAGAAAATGATAATGAATTAAAAACCTCTCATGTTACAATAAAAGACCTCCTTGAAGAGGCTCAAAAATATAATTTAAAAATTAAAAATTCGAATCTACGAAATACTAAAAATAGCCTTATCGTATAAAATAATATATCTCTAAAATAATATGTATCTAGTAATTCGTATATAGCCTTTTCGGGCTATAACAGACATTACGAATTTGACCAAATGCCGTTCGGTCTAAAAAATGCTCCGGCTACTTTCCAGCGCCTAATGGACTTAGTGTTAACTGGGTTACAAGGCAAAGAATTATTCGTTTATATGGACGATATTGTTATCTATGCAACGTCTTTAGAAGAACACGAAAGAAAATACAACGCTTTAATTTAATTTAACTTAAAACTACAACCAGACAAATGTGAGTTTTTAAATAGAGAGGTAACTTATCTGGGACATGTAATCAGTAAAGACGGAGTAAAACCAGATCCGAAAAAATTAGAAGCGGTACAACGATTTCCAAGACCTAAAACGCCTAATAATATTAAACAATTTTTAGGACTTGCAGGATATTATAGACGCTTTATACCGAATTTTTCAAAATTTGCCAAACCATTAACAAATTTATTAAAAAACGACACCCGCTTCGAGTAGACATCTGTGTAAAAAGAATCTTTTGAGATTTTAAAACAAAAACTGTGCGAAGAGCCAGTACTGCAATACCCAGATTTTTCCAAATCATTCATTTTAACGACCGATGCATCTGGAATAGCCGTCGGAGGAATATTATCACAAGGAGAGATAAACAAAGACCTACCGATAGCATACGCCTCACGAACCTTAACAGATAATGAATTAAAATACGATACATACGAAAAAGAAGCACTAGCTATTGTATATTGCGTTAAACATTTTCGACCATACTTATACGGAAGAAAATTCACTTTAGTTACAGATCATAAACCATTGATGTGGTTTAAAAACGCACAAGACGCAAATATGCGAATACTTCGTTAGAGATTAAAATTAGCAGAATATGATTATGAAGTTGTATACAAAGCGGGAAAAACAAACGTAAACGCAGACGCATTATCAAGAATACGAATTCGACCGAATGCCGTTCGGTCTAAAAAATGCTCCGGCTACTTTCCAGCGCCTAATGGACTTAGTATTAACTGGGTTACAAGGCAAAGAATTATTCGTTTATATGGACGATATTGTTATCTATGCAACGTCTTTAGAAGAACACGAAAGAAAATACAACGCTTTAATGGAACGTCTTCGAGAAGCTAATTTAAAATTACAGCCAGACAAATGCGAATTTTTGAAAACAGAAGTAACTTATCTGGGACATGTAATCAGTAAAGACGGAGTAAAACCAGATCCGAAAAAATTAGAAGCGGTACAACGATTTCCAAGACCTAAAACACCTAAGAATATTAAACAATTTTTAGGACTTGCAGGATATTACAGACGCTTTATACCGAATTTTTCAAAATTCGCCATACCATTAACAAATTTATTAAAAAACGACACCCGCTTCGAGTGGACATCTGTGCAGGAAGAATCTTTTGAAATTTTAAAACAAAAACTGTGCGAAGAGCCAGTACTGCAATACCCAGATTTTTCCAAATCATTCATTTTAACGACCGATGCATCTGGAATAGCCGTTGGAGGAATATTATCACAAGGAGAGATAAATAAAGACCTACCGATAGCATACGCTTCACGAACCTTAACAGATAATGAATTAAAATACGATACATATGAAAAGGAAGCACTAGCTATTGTATATTGCGTTAAACATTTTCGACCATACTTATACGGAAGAAAATTCACTTTAGTTACAGATCATAAACCATTGATGTGGTTTAAAAACGCACAAGACGCAAATATGCGAATACTTCGTTGGAGATTAAAATTAGCAGAATATGATTATGAGGTTGTATACAAAGCGGGAAAAACAAACGTAAACGCAGACGCATTATCAAGAAATCCTGTAAATATCGAAGAAATAGATTATAAAATTATAAAAAACAAGAAACTTCTAAACCCAGATAACCCTAATGATGCACGATTAATTGCCGAACTATTAGAAAAATCCGATAGCGAAGAAGAAGAAGAAGAAGATGACGATTTCCATTTATATCTTTCCAATATCGAAGAAAACGAAGAAATAATACCTGAATGCGATTTATTAAATAACAATAACGATACTCTTCCATTTACACAAACAGAATTAAACGAACCAGATTATTTATCAATTATCCGAGCTTCCGCGGTCGGTCGATTTAGTCTGCCTACGACAACGATTCGAGCAAGTCGAAATTCATCGACTTTTCGCATTCGCATTTCGCAAATTCTCGCTCGTGTCGCGTACGCAGTAGGCTTACTTGTCTCAAATTCGGTTCGAATTGTCTCGCCATACGATCGCATTCATATCCTCGCGGCGGTCAATTCGGTCATATCTCAAACTGTATTCTTCAATCAGTTAGTGCTAAGACATTGTGAACGATAATTGTGTGGAGTCCGAGAGTCGACGCTAGTTAACCGCATCGCGAATGTCCTCTGCCTTGTGCCAAATTCCATCCGGCGTTCGCGTGCAAGATTTCCGCTCTCGCGACAAATATTGTCTGTCCATCTCCTTATCCTCCAGCGGATCTACGGATTCGCGTTACACACCGCTTCTCGCTCATCTTTGAGCGTCTCTCTCTCAGTTTCGGGCGATCTCGTCGAGGTCGACTCCCGAACAAAAATAAAATTTAAACAAGAAGTCGAACTGCAGGACAAATTATTGAGCAAAATAAAATAGCCGACGAATCGCATAGCGACTCGTGAGCGAGATCGAAGAAATCAAAGAAAGAAATGATCCGCCGGATAAAAATTCTGACATTGAAAAGGAAGACGAAGAGGAAAACGAACAAGATATTATTAAAAAAAATTTAAATTTAAAAAAGAAAACGAATCTTGCATTTATTGAAAATAGAGTAATTCATGGTAACGTTATAGACTCTCGAGAATTATTATTTTTACGAAAAGATAACATAGTATATTTCGTCGTGAGAGGGCCCTACGGCTACTCTTAAACAAATTGTTAAAATCTTAACAGACTTACGGAAAATAACCGAAGATTTAAGATTAGAAACATTTAATATTGCAAAAACCGAGTTTATTTATAATATTCCATGGAATGATGTCAAATCACATATACAATCAATATCCACCGACGCTCCTACTAAAGTTATTATTTGCCACGGACTAATTAAATATCCACCGAAAGATTTACGTTCCGTTATAATCAGTGAAATGCATTGCTTACCAACAGGAGGACACCGGGGAATCACAAAAACTTATAACAGAATAAAACATAATTATTACTGGGAAAACTTGAAAGCAGATGTTCAACGATGCATACAGCAATGTTTACAATGTCAATTGAAAAAACTTGTACGAGTTAAAACAAAATAACCTATGATAATTATAGACACACCAGGATCTTCTTTCGATAAAGTAGCCATGGATATCGTAGGCCCTTTGCCTAAAACCGAAAGAGGAAACGAATATATTTTAACATTACAAGATCAATTAACTAAATTTTGCATGGGAATACCATTACCGAATCAAACATCTTTTCAACAAAGTTATTAGCCTCTATCTTTAGTTTATTTATATCTGTTATAGTTTTCTGCGTTATAAATTTTGTAACGCGGTCACCTCGCTCGACGCTCGGATCAGCTCGTCGGTGTCCGGGTTCGAGAGGAGGGGAGACTCAAGCTTACGAGACACAGTATAGGTAGAAAGAGATAGTTTATTTAGTTAGAGAAAGATAGATACCGCGTGCAGGGTCTGGCGATAGCGTGCGGTAAAGGCGGTCGCTGGTAGCAGGATCTGCGAAGCGTAACGCGCAGGCGCGAAGCGAGAAGCGCAACACGGCGAGAAGAGCCAGACAGGTGCGGCGGGCGATGGTTCCCGGTTTTATTTACATGCGGCGGACTTATCACTAACAGGCCTTATAACTAGCGAACTAAGTACTAGGCAGGTCTTATTACTAGCGTGCGGTTATAACTAGCGGACTTATCACTAACGAGCGGGTATAACTAGCGGGCTTATCCCTAGGCAGGTCTTATTACTAACAGGCCTTAAGACTAGAATGCGGTTATGACTAACGGACTTAATACTACCAGGCGTTATTGCTAGCGAACTTATCATGCGACTACTATTTACAACGCGGTATTTACATGCAGTTTATATACTAGCGTCAGGTTAGGTGGTGAGGTCTTGCGGGCAAGACCGAGTGTCACGTCGGGCCTGCCTTGGCAACAGAAACCGGCGAAACCCGGCAGGGCTGAGCGAAACCTCAGCCCGGGTAGATGTTAGGAGCCGGCGAAATCCGACAGGGCCAAGCGAAACTTTGGCCCGAGGAGTGGTGACAGGAGTCGGCGAAACCCGACGGGGCTGAGCAAAACCTCAGCCTGAAGGTAGAGAGACCCGGCGAAACCCGGCAGAGACAAGAGAAACCTTGTCCCCGAGAGGTAGTGGGTATTAAGCAGGTCGGTGTCTGGAGCTGGATGTCGGGACAGGATCTGGTCCCGATGTCTTGGCCGGTCGGGCTTATATACCCGGCTGGCGTCCCCCACTGTGCGCTGTCGGTCCGGCGGTGGGAGTCGGTAACATGTGGGGGGCCCCGCGAGAGAGATAGAGCGTGCCGGTGAGCGAGAGCGCATGCTGAGTAAGAACGCGCATGCGTTAAGCAAGATGGCGGTGGCAGGACAGGTAGGGCTGGGTGAATAAGCAAGCCTTGCGTACCTATCTATATATTTTTGGTATATATATCTATATATACTGGTCGTAGTAACGGCCCTGCCGTTACATCACCCGCCCCCCCCTCCTAGGCGGTGTGGGCGCCGGATCGGGTGGTGGCGCGGCGGAGGCGGCTGCTCCGGAGACCCATCCGTGTTGAAGTGGAGGGTCCACTGTCCTTCCGGAGTCCAGTGCCGGTACCGCCTGGCTGTGTGCACCGCGCGGTGTGGCACGCGGAGGACCGTTCCCGCGGCGACCTTTACCGTGATAGGCTCCGGGGGGCGTGGCCCCACCGCGTGGAGTGGCCCGGCTGTCGGTGGGCTTGTGGTTGGTGGTAGTGCTCTTGTTGCGTTGATCGATCGTGGTCGTTGGTCGACGGCGGGACACCTCAGTGCGGCTGGCGCGGCAGTTAGCCTGGCTGTGGGCTCAGGCTGCCGTCGCTGGTCGACGTGTTTCGGCGCAGGTGGCCTGGCGGTGTTGTATGCCGTTGCGGCGCATTTGGTCGGGACGGGCCGGGCGATTCGGGGCTTTGGTGGTGGCCTCCGCTTTTGGCGCCGGCGTCGGTCCGGTGGTGGTGGCGGCGATAACAGGAGGAGGGCCTTCCTCCTGTTATCGGCGTCGGACCGCTGTATCGCGGTTCCTACCCGCGGTGGTCGTCGGTGCGGATCGGACGCCCGTGGTGGTTCGCCCCTTGGCGGCGTGACGGGCGTGGGTCCTGGGCCGATGGGGAGGTCGTCCTCATCGTCGGACCAGCTCCCGTATAACTCTTCCAGTTGTCGGCGTTCTGGTTCGGTCGGCATCGCGGACTGACTAACTTGCCGGGCTGTCCGGCGTGCGATCTTTTATACGCTCGTTGGGAATGTCCGGAATGCACGGCGCGTTGTTTTTGCGGGTCGCGGCGCGTTGTTGGGCTGGTTGCGCCCTCGGTTGTGGTCCGCGAGTTTTCGGGTGCTCGGGTGCTCACGATCGGTAATCGCGCGGTTACCGGGCGTTGTTCGTGTGCTTCGCGCGTACCGACGTTCGCGGTCGGTAATCGCGACTTTACCGGGAGTTGTGTCTGTGTTTCGCGCGTACCGACGTTCGCGATTGGTAATCGCGACTTTACCGTGTGGTGTTCGTACCGACGCGAGTTGCCGATAAGGGCCGGTGTTAGGCTGGCGCAGGTCGCCAGGGGCCGGTCGTTGTTTGGCGGGTCGTCGTCGTTGTGGGGCAAGCCCGGGTGCGCCTTCAGGTCCTGGATGTGGACGTGCCGGTGCCAGCGTCCGCGGCTGTCTCGCAGGTCAACGATGACCGGCGAAATGATTTGTCGTACCTCCAGGGGCCCCACGAACTATGGGGCTAGTTTGGCGTTGAATGCCTTAGCCTTGTCGGACAGGACGTAGTTCTTTTTCCATACCCACTCCCCGACCTTCGGCTTCCACGCCCGCCGCCGTAGGTTATAGTGTCGCTCCTGATGTTGGAAGGCACGGGCCAGGCTTACTCTTACGAGCTCGTAGGCCTCTCGCAAATGTCGGTGCGTGGTTTCTGGTGCCGGCGCATTCCCTTGTTGCCGTCGGTCTTCCGGATGCGGTCGGGCGAGCTCCCTGCCGTGGTTGTGGTAGGCAGGGGTGTGACCCTTGGCCTCGCTCCAGGCGATGTTGAAAGCGCACTGGAGAGCGGTGATGTGCTCGTCCCACGTCTTTTGACTTCTGCCCACGTATTGGGCGATCATCGTTTTCATGGTCCGGTTGGCCCGTTCCACCGGATTGCACTGCGGGGTGTACGGCGGTGAGGTGCGGTGTTGTATGCCAAAGGTGGTCAGCATCTTCTCCAATTGTTTGGCCTTTAGTTGGGTTCCGTTGTCCGAGATGACCCATTGCGGGCAGCCATGGCGGTATATGATCTGGTCTACGAATGCCCTGGTGATGTTGTTTGCGGTGGCCTTTCGCAGTGGCGTGACCTCGAGCCACTTCGTGAATCGGTCCTGCATCGTGAGCAGCCATGTGTGTCCGCGGTTGGAGCGGGGTAGCGGCCCGACCAGGTCGATGGAGACCTGCTGCCATGGTGCACCTACTGGTGTGGTGTGAAGCATCCCGGCGGGTCGCTGTTGCGACACCTTGTGTGCCAGACAGGTTGGGCAGGCGCGGACGTATCGAGCGATCTCCCGGAGCATCTCTGGCCAGTAGTACTGCTGGGCGATGCGCGCCATGGTCTTGGCGGTCCCTAAGTGTCCGGATGCGGATCGTCGTGCCAACGTTGAAGTAAGGCGGCGCGTTCAGGTGTCGGTACGCATTGCTTCCACTGTTCCTCCGCGGGCATCTCCCGGAAGCCCAAGTCGTGGAGGATGTGTCGGTACAGGAGCCCGTCAGGTATCTGGTAGTCAGGCTGGTTGGCTGGTCGGGTTTGGACGTCTCGTTTGATCCGGTGATACCATAGGCAGGGCGGCGTTTGTCGTGCCGCGGCGACCTCGGGCTGGCGCGAGAAAGCATCCGCTACCTGGTTCTGGGCGCCTCGACGGTATTTGATCTCGAAGTTGTGCTGCTGGAGCTCAAACAGCCAGCGAGCAAGTCGGCCTGACGGGGCTTCCAGGCGTTGGAGCCACCGAAGGGATTGGTGGTTGGTAAGCACGGTAAATTGGTATCCCTCCAAGTAATCCCGCATCCGACGTATCCCCCAGACTACGGCGAGGCATTCCAGCTCGGTGGCGCTGTAGTTCCGCTCGGCGTGATTCAACGTTCGGCTGGCGTATGCAATGACCCGTTCCCCTTCGGTTAACTGTTGCGTCAGGACGGCGCCTAGCCCGTGCGTACTGGCGTCGGTCTGCAGGGTGAAAGGCCGTTCGAAATCGGGACACGCGAATACCGGAGCGGAGATTAGGGCGTCCTTGAGGCGTTGGAAGGCCTCGTTCTCGACGGCGGTCCCGGCCCAGCGGGCGTTTTTGCGGGTCAGGTGCGTCAGGGTTGCGGCTACGACGGAGAAGTCCGCGATAAAGCGTTGGTACCACGGTGCCAAGCCCAGGAACTGGCGAACTTGCCTGAGATTGGTGGGCGTTGGCCAATTGGCGACGGCGCTAACCTTTGCGGGGTCGGTGCGGATTCCGCGGCGGTCAATGATGTGGCCCAGGTACCGGAGGCTGTCCCGGCAAAAGTGGCACTTGTCGGCGCTGAGCCGTAGTTTGGCGGCTCGCAGGCGCCGGAAGACCTCGGCCAGGTGCTCCTCGAAGGTTGGGCTGGCCACGACGATGTCATCCAGGTAGACAAGGACGTTGGACTCGAGCTCTGGCCCCAGGATAGAGTCCAGGAGGGGTTGGAACGTGGCGGGCGCCGAATGCAGTCCGAACGGCATTGTCCGGAACTGCATGAGTCCCCTTCCTGGCATGGTGAACGCCGTGATCGGGCGGCTCTCTGGCGCTAGTGGGACTTGCCAGTAGCTGTTTTTCAGGTCCAGAGTCGTTAGATATTTTGCGCCCCGGAGTTTGTCTAAGGTGGCCGTATTATGTGGTAGAGGGTAGGCGTCCTTCTGCGTTACGTCGTTCACCTTCCGGAAGTTGATGCAGAACCGGTGGGTGCCGTTTTTCTTCTTCACGAGCACCACCGGGGAGCTCCAGGCGCTCTGTGACGGCTCTATCACGCCCGCCTCTTCCATCTTGCGGACCTCCCGGTCGATTACGACCTGCATGGCCGGATTACGTGGCCGGTATCGTTGCTTGATTGGCTAGTCGGTTGTTAGGCGGATCTGGTGTGCGATACGGTCGGTCGGGCCGTGTACGGCCTCGAAGGCGGGTAGTTCACGGTGGAGGAATTCCTTCAGCCGTTGGTCCTCGGCGGTGGTGCGTGGTGTTAGCCCGGCCGAGATTTCGCACAACAGCCTTCCATCCTCAATCAAACGGATCATTAGAAAGATCATATCAGGCATTAGGCAAATATTTAAAACAATACGCGAATGAACAAAAACAATAGGATAAATGGGTTAGCCTTGCCATTTTTAATTATAATACGAGCGTACATGAAGCAACAAAGCATACTCCATATGAGCTGGTTTTTGGAAAGATAGCACGTGTTCCATCGAACGAACTTCTATCTCCTGGGGATAAATTAGCAAATTATAACGAATATTTAATAAATCTTGTCACTCAACTTCACGCAATTCAGAGAAATGCACGCGATAACGTTATTCAAGCCAAAATTAAATAAAAAAATTATTACGATAGAAAAATCAACCCACAAACTTTTAAACCGGGGGATCAAGTATTTTTATTAAAAGGTCCAAAACCGGGTAAACTCGGAGATCAATATACTGAGCCTCACGAAGTTCTAGAAATTTTTAATAAAAATAACGTCAAAATTAGAATAAAAGCCGCAGAGCTACAGAAAGCCGAATACCACCGAGCGCTGCCGTGAACGCCCGAGCGACACCCGCCGAAACGCCGCGCCATTTCGCCCAGGAGAGGTGACGTATTACCGAATTACCTACCGAAAAACAATACGTCATTATCCCCACCCGGGGGCGAACGACGCGGGTACCGTTAATCGTATACGCCTAAGAAATCCTCTCGGCGATTTAAACCGATTCACACGTTTTTGTGAACCACGCGCCGTCACAACAAACCGATCACGCGTCCCGCGCCGCCTACCTGGCGTGTTTATATCCGCGTTGCGTATACTACACGCATCTCAGTGTCAGACTCGCGTAATTGATAACAGCCGCGCCCCGTCAGTAACGCATTACTATCCGCCGCGCACCCGCTCCGCGGGGCAGTTCTGTATTATTATTCCGCGCCGATAGAGGCTAATAAAGTAACATTGCTTTATATTTTAATTACATCGTGTGTCTAAATACTTTCTACGAGCCCTGATCACGACCGAGCGAATCCGCGAGCTCATAAAAAGTACACCCGTTACATTGCGTGGCCAATGTGTCGACTGTGACATGTACCCACGACCGTGGGGTCGTGTGACGTTGGTCGCATGCATATTTCCGGCCGGTTTCTGTTGCAATGGTTTATGTGCCAGGCATTTCTGGCACTGTTGTACGTATCTGGTGATTTCGCGGAACATTCCGGGCCAGTAGAATTTTCCGGCGATGCGGGCGATAGTTTTCGCGACCTCTTCGTGTCCGGCTGTGGGAGCATCGTGGTACTGTCGGAGGATCTCTTCCCGTTGTTCGCGGGGCACGCACAGTTTTCACTGTTCGTCGGCGGATGTCTCTTTAAAATCTAGACTGTGGAGCAGATGTCGATAGGAATAATTATCAAAGAAATAATTATGTAAACTTTCAGATGGACCTCAACATTAAGCGAATAGTTGCGATACTGGTAGTATAAAGTTGAAATTGATCGATTAATTAAAAAATGTGGAATGTTCTCTCACACCATGGATGTATATAACGGAAAATATTCATACATAGAAGAAATACCTCGCGATATATGCAGAAGAATGCACGATTATGGTACCTATCAAACGGCAAATACTTACATAACTGGCTTAAAATCAAATCAAACCAGTACACGTCCAATAACACTCGCTGGCAGTGTGGACAACGAGGGAGGCTGTATCGGAGGAGCATATTCCGATCCTTATGGAACATGGACAGACGTAATAGTACTCGCAAGCGTAAAAATTACACTACAAGATTATGTAGCAGACATAAAAATAAACACTAATTGAGTGCAGCTCAGGTTGGATGTAGCATGTAAATTTGGCTCCACCATGTAGAAGGAGGAGATACGTATTGGGATCCAGTACCTACCGATACTTGCAAACTTTATAATTTCGGAATATTATTCGAGGGGTACACATACAAAATAGTCGATAAAGATAAA